AACATGCGTGTGTGCCTGCATTAGTATGGGCGTATGTGTGTGCCGATGTGTGTGTTGTGTGCATTTGTAAATGTTGCTGTGTGAGTGGCAGCTTCCGTTCTCCATTCTTGGCTGCACGCGCTGTCCCTACTCGCTGCCCCACCCCCTGCACACGTGCCCTAACTCTCACTAAGTCTCAGCATGACATTGCACTCAACTTGCTTTCGCCTTAGCGCTCGAGATGCGCGCTCCACCTTCACCACAGCCGCGCCACCCGTTGCCAGACCAGCTGTTGACTTTTATTGTGGCTTGACATTAATTTGTTAAGTGCACCACGGCGGCTGCCCGGCAGCAGCCCCTGTCCCTGCCCCACACGCCAAGTCAACTGTGTGTAATCTTAAAGGTGAGCAGCTCGAGCGGTTTAACAGTTTTGCACACCCGTGTTGTTGCCTTAATTGCATTTCAGTGTGTACACACTCTGCCCAAAATGAAAAGTACATACCGTTTGCCATTCTACAGGCGCTGTGCACCTTTGCCGTCGACGGCGACGTCGACTTCGCTTTTAATTATGCCCAATGCACTGTGAAAATGCTTAAAAATGCAAATTATGCGCTGCAAAATGCAACGCATGCAAAATTTGTGGCACATAATTTATGCCGCACATGGCGAATATCCATCCGCTGCCCTCTCGCTCTCACTGGCTCTAGCTGTGTCCCGCTTGCGCCGTGTTGCATGTTCTGCTGCTGAGCGGTGTCTATCGCATTATGTTGTTCAGGATTGCTTTCTGGTGTCATCGATGCCGATTGTTGATATAAGCCATATGATATGCATAAACATGCCACAGACCCAAGCCACACACCTACACCACACACCACACTCCCACATCAAACACCCATACCACACACACACCCACACACACACACACACAATATTTGTTTAATTAGCCCGTATTAATGTCGATGCAAGCAAATAAGGTGGCAACCCATAATGAAAACTGCAACCAGCTCCATTGTTCCGGCCAATTGTTCCTATTATTATTCCTGCTGCGATTGCAGCATGCCCTTCCATCGGCTACCGGCTCCAGTTGCCCATTGGGGGCATGCTATGATGTTGCCCACTGACCCACTGACTGTTCAATTTTCATTTGAATTTTCTCTTTATTCAGACCATTTGGCTTGCCATAAATCCGCTCGTGATTTGAATGAAACACACAGTTTGTTGCCTAATGATCGGATTTAATTGGTTTACATATACATAACTAAATTGTGTCCAAGCTCAAATTTCATTTATCAACACAATTTGCCTGGCAGTGAACATATTTTATTTAAAGTGCTCAGATTATTAGCTTCAGCTCATTTTTGCCTAAAATCAAGCTGGGTCGACACACACATTAATATTGTCGCTGAACTTGTTGTTCCACGCCCATTAACCCACGCCCTAGTTCAAAGAATGGCTTTTCTCATATTTTCATAATGTTTAACTTTTTAATCTACAAAATCTGGCTCGTTAAATACAATTAATGGCGACCAGATTCCTTATGCTTATTGGCGCGGCCTGCATCTCATTGGAAATGTTCAGCCAAGGCATTTCATATAAAATTTATTTTGAAATCTTTTCCTTTGTTGTCTAACAAATGTGTCGAAGTACAAACGAAAATTGTTAGTCACCTAAACAGTTGTCATTCGACATACATCAGATCAAAAGCGTTTGCCAAAAACACAATTTTTCAATATTTCACGTTTGCTCAATTGTTGCGGCCATGCCCTGTAAGAGGAAGACAAAGCTATGGGAGTCGCACATGGACAGTTCGGTCATGAAGACCACCACACAGATCATGCTTGAGCAGGGCTCTCGTCCACAGCGCACCCTTTGCACCACGGATCACAAACTGGTCAACTTTCAGTCCTTCAACATGGATGAGTAAGTGCAGTCGAGTATTCGGATGCATTTCGTTCGCGTTGACTCTATTCACTGACTGCCGCAGTCCACGCTATGGGCCTGTAGACCTCGAAGAGGAACTGATACAGCCACTCAAGTCCGGCTATATGCGTGAGTATACGCAGCCTTATCCCTCACGCTGCAAGCCGCTGGAGCCCAAGGGGGGTACACCCGACTTTATGTTCAATCGCTTGCCCAAGAACGACTTCGACCCGAATACTGGCACCTTTTACAAGTTTCTGGATGATCATATGCACGATATACCCGAGGTACGCAAGAAGGTCAACTTTTTCAGGCAGTTGAGGTAGGACAGGTGCTAATACAGCTTGCACATACAATTGTCATTTTGTTTCCTTCCACAGAAATCAATCATTTTTGCTTTATTGAGGGCAGCGAAATTTTAAATTGTTGAAAATTAAATAAACGTAGTAATAGTTGTTGCGAACAGAACTAGCTATATTTGAAGTGCTTAAAATAGAATACCAAGTCATGTTCCTCTTCTAGCTAATTGCCTGACAATTTGTTGCAATTTGGCTCAATCATCATTCAAGTCACGCTACAAGTTCTTATGCTAAAAGCTTTTCCAGTGTTACACAATTATAAATTACCCCACAGCACTTTTGCCCAACCCTTCTCCTTCCTTTAGCCGAGCTAAGTAAAAATGTGTCAGTTGTTTCCTTTTCAATAGAAATCAATTAATATTGCATAGAAATATCGTTCGTCAGCAGGAACAAGTAGACTAACTGGGTATATATATATATATATATATATATATATATATATATACACGCAATTTTTATATGTGGCAGTCGTGGGGCATACTTTGACTGATATCGCTTATTAGGTTAAAGCTGTTGCAACTTCTCGGAAAAACGTAACAAATTGCAATTAATATTGCACAAGGCATGCATCGAGCAAGTCCGATACTTTGGCTCGTAGTTCTCCTATATTGCTAGCAATTTGCATAAATGCAGCCAACAAGCTGCAAGGACCGCAGCTCGAGGGTGGTGTCAAACTAATCGCAAACTATGACAGCGCTGATTTATTATGCACGGTAATTAGTTTGGCCTGTTTATCGTCTATGGAAGTGGCCAGTGCCATCAGCAAGGCGCATTGATATGCCGAGCAACTGCATCGAGTTTTTTTTTTTGCTGACGATGACAAGACCATAAAAACTGTTGCGACAACAAGCACCATCAACAGGCGCTAGTCAGCCCCTTAGCCAGATGATGACGTCGGACAGGACGAGCAAGGACGATGAAGTGGCCGAAAACAAAGCACTCTTAGACGTCAGTTGACAAGCGCATGAAAGTCAAAATGAATGTTCCAAAATGACAGGCAAAAGGCCAGCCCGAGGAGTCCACAAGACGAAGCAGGAGCAGAGAGACGAATGGTGAGGCGGAAGTCGCCATTGTGGTTGACAAACGGGACATGGACATGTTGTGCGGAGTCGGGCGGCAATGCATCAATTAGGAAGCGACAAGTTTTCAATCTCGCACTGAAAGCTGACACCTGAAAGCTTAAAACAAGATCAAAGCGGAACCTTGCGTTAGAGATCAAAAGGAAATATAAGAGTTTGGAAGGGTAACGAGATTAAGCTAAGACTATACTTAAGACTTTATTTTGGATTTGAGTTAACAAAAGTAGGAATAAGAAAACTTTAACGAGGTTACGAGGCTCAAAACAAGATTAAACTGGCATCTCAAATGAGAAGTTAAGAAGTTTTTGAATAAAGGTTGAGCTATTAAACTAAGAATTTATGTAGGTCTGTGATATTTAGGATTTAAAGAAAGCTTTTTAAGCACATGAATGCTTTCGAAAATTTTATATTCAGCACTAACATCTTAACGTAATGCTTGTAAAGAATATTGAAGAATGAAATTCGTTGATTTCCTGTACTTTAATAAGACCTTTTGCGGTACAAGGAATCAACTATATGATGTAGAGGTCCGATATGGCATTAAGCTGAATGACAATAATGCATTAATGTATGCATACTATTTATGCTGTTCAATGGGACAGCATTGAATCTGTTCAGAAACAACTCTTGTTGTTTGACCTTCGTGCTTTAAATAGGGATCCTCGTGTGATGATTAACATTTCTACTTTGATTAATCGTAGTCACAAATTAATTACTGGTTAAATTGACTCTTCTGTGTTGATTAGCCAATTAAATTGCTCTATCCCTACTGGACTAACACGTAACTTGTACCCCTATCGCTTCAACCCTTCAGAGTTCTCTGTGATGACTATAATAAGCATTACAGAGTATTCTGCTCAGAGTCTTCTCTTCCACGTATGAAGTCTTCTTTTTCAAACTATTTAGTAAGCAGATAGTCTTATGTTTATTAGTAATTATATATTTTCACATACTTGTAGTATGTATGTATTTTTTTTTTATTATTATTTTCTTATTTACCTTGCATATCGTGTCGTACGTTACACGACTGCGCCTCTCGGTCGGTTGGGCGGGAGGCGGGATGCAATACGTTGCATCAGGATTCGCGTTAAAAAAAAAAAAAAAACAAAAATTATAGTATGTATATTCATATGTGGCCGGAGAGCGCATCCTGTGGTATTGTTGCTTGTCTAAAAGTATAAGTATCATTGAGCAACTCAGGTAGAGTACTGCAATTTCATGATGCTATTTCATAAATAGTTTCAGTATTTGATTTGCAGCAGATTCTGATTTATCCAATAGGACTAGCTCAATGATATTTGGCCGTTTCCTCTTGCACATTAGGCAAGTCGGACAGCTATAGTCTTGAACAAGGGTACTTGCTACGCACTACTGATAACAGACCGAGGTGCCACATTTCGCAAGGAACATTCAACAAGCTTTCACCAATGCGTACGACAGACAAAACTCACCACACACCAACAAAAGCCGGCAATAGCTCTCGCGATTTCAGTCTCTTTTGAGCTCTTGCTCTCTCTGCTGGGCGTCTGCGTTGTGGTCTGACGACACGACGGAGAAACTCAACACGGACGCCCGACTAAAGGCATCGTCTGTGATAAGAGCCAATGCTTCGGCTTTGGCCACGGCTCGTGCCTTGGCCAGCAGCTAGGCTGAAATCAGTCAACTCGGAAACGTGGCCATGTTCGTTTTGCGGCCATTTCGTTGCGGCTCTTTCAGCCTGGCCACCAACAATTGGCAGTAGCCAAGCCAAATGACAACCGCCAACTGCCAACAAAGTTTGTGTATCGTTTCGTGCCCCGTGCTGCGATCCGAGTGCTGTTTTTGTGTGCAGGCCAAGTGCCAACCAAATTCCGAATACGTCGAAATCAAATAACACAATTCGAAGGTGTGCATAAGTGTGTATGTGTGTGTGTGTATGTGTGTGGCTGTGTTACTGTGTGTATGTGTAATCAATTAAAAGGTGTAAACTGCAACAACAACAATCAAAGTAACAGTACAAAAACATGTGTATGTGCGTGTGTGTGTGTGTGTGTGTGTGTGTCTGTGTGGCATGTGTAATTAATTTTTGGCATTTAAATTGGCCGCCATCAGCATCCAGACCTTAAACCAATTTGATAAATTTGCATTTTTGCACACAAAAAATAAAAAACGCAACGCAACGACAGGAAAACAAAAAGGGGGAACCACAAAAAGGGAGGCCTGAAAAAGCAATTTAATTTACAAATTACAAGTTGATGGGTTAGTCAGAGGGCAGCCTTCAGGCGGGCAGCTTAAAAAGGGCAAAGCCTGAGAAATGATTTGGGTCGTCAAAATAAATCAACGATTCAGTTCGGAGTGCTTCGAATGCTTTCTAGCAGTTGGATAAGCCAAAATGTAGCTGTAACATTTATAACTTATTTTAATTCAATCATTAGCTCAATCAAAATGGAAACAATGATTTGTAAATAATCTATCAATATGCTGAAGTCGTAGATTTCAATTCTTTGACACGAATTGTCAACATAATTTCATCTTTTTTTTTGAGTTTCCAATTATATGAAACACCGATATATATTGGGATTAATTTTGGCAATACTTATCGATATACATGAAGTCTTCAATCTGTGAAATTATAATAAACAAAATTGATTTTTGCTTATAGTAAAGATTTCCTATAATAATAAATTTACATTAGCGTGGTGTTCTTTTCCATATATTTACATAGTCTGCTTAATAATTGTTTCATGATTCATTTTTCAATATTTTGTTCAAACTTTTCAAGCTAAGTTCACAATATATAGGCATAAAATGAATATCAAGGAAATTAATTATTGATATATAAATGAGATAAATTAAAATAAATAATATATATCAAAAATATCATAAATTCATCTTTTCCGGAGGTCCCTAATAAAAGTTTTCTCTTACTAGAACTTTTTTAGGGCAAATTCCGTAACTTAACATTCAAAATTGCAAAATGATTAAATATGCATTTCGATAGATGTTGATATTCTATCTTAAGCAGTATGAAAAGCAATTTTAATAGATATAATTTTTTATTTTAATGAACTTAACTTAAATTAATTAATATTTTCTCACCTCAACCCTTTGTCAACGTCATCGCTCGCAAAAAATGCAGTGAAACCTGTGAACAGAAAATAAGACAAAATTGAAATGAAAAACATTCCATGTTATATTTTATAATTTAAAACATTTTTCATTTTATATTTTGTTTTGCTATTTGCTGTCGTCTTTTTAATGTGGTGCTAAGAAATCTCGCATTTGCACTTTGAAGGCTGTCCCCAAAAGCTGACAGCGAGCCGTGGTAAGAACAACAAGAGTAATAATAATAATAATAAAATGAAGGAAGCTCAGAGAAACAAAAATAAAGAATAAGTTGAAGAAAAATGTCTGAGACGTGCCTCGTATGCAAATATTTGCAAAACGCAGACTAATAAGTGAAAAGGGAAAAAACAGGAAAGAACGCCAGCTGACTTCGGCATGCCGCAGTTGAAATACCCTCTGCCTTTGGTTAAGATACTTAAAGAAACAATCTAGTTTTCCACACTGAACTTTCCTATAGAGCTATATGATATGAATGTGGAATGTGTGACAATGCTTAGCGGCTGCTGCATATAAATACTTTAAGGGGTTGAATATGTCTTCTTCTAGGCTATTCATTTTTCATGTCAAAATTAAAATACGCTCTACAAGGGTATTTAAAAGGGCGAAGCGCAAAAAAATGAGACTGCGAGATTACGACAAAGCCAGAAGCCACATCCACAGTCAGAGAGCGGCCCCAGCTGAAGGGAAATCCTTCAAGCGCCTGAGCCTGGCCTTACTATGGTCGTCGCACAGGAAGCAACCACGCCCCCAAGAGGCTGCCAGGATGTCACGAAGGCCCCTTCCACCTGCCATGTCAATGCCTGTGCAGAGTGGAAGGAGGTAAGGTGACCTCGAGGCACAAATGAGTGCAGAGGCAGCGTCTGATAAAAATGCAGGCAACGCCGAAACGAGTTGCACCCATTTTCCACTTCAACATTCAGCAGATTTTCATGTGGTTTAATTCAAATTTCAACAGCACTTTTCTCGCTTAACTCGCTAACAAGATCAACAAATGTGTTTCTTAAATTAAACAATCATTTTTCTGGAATTTATTACATTGCCAAATAACAAGGATATTCACTGCAATCTTTCAAAATTTCAATTGCCCAGCAACGCGTCTCTGTGTGTGTGTGTGTGCTTGTGCGTGTGTGCTGGAAAAATGAAACAAATTTCATTGCATAATTCATTACGCATTTGAGGGGTTAAGGGATAGAGAGCTGGTGGCAAGAAAACCGCCTGCCATTTTGTCTGGTCATAAATCTTTTGACATATGGGCTGCCATTGCCATAACGTTATGGTGTGGCAGGGAGCCGGAGGCTGAGGGGGAAAAAAAATCGGGCAACGAGCTGCAAAAATACGTATTAAATTTTTATTGTTTCCTCTGTCATATTTTTTTCACGCTTGACATTTTCAGTTAAACAAATATTAAAACAATCAACTTGACAAAGCCTATAAACAATTCACGCCCCAAAAAAGGGGAAATCTCGCAGTGTTTTTGGAATTTTCCGAATTGTTGAAATTGCGCAAAGGGCTAAAACGAATTCAAATTCATTCATTCGCTGACAAGTGACTAAAACAATAAATAAAACAAAAGAGCTGGCAAATTCTACGCTAAAATTACAACAAAATGGCGCGCTCTCTGCTTCTGCAACAACAACAAAAGCAACAGCAAAAACTGTTAAAACCGAAACAACAACAATCAGCAGACCATCTACAAGAGTTGTAATAACAAACGCTGCATAGAGAAAGAGAAAGAGGGGGAGAGAGAGAGAGAGCGAACGGGAGAACAGCGACAAAAACAATTGAAACGATTGGCAACACTTTTACGAGTTGCCATCTACTTTTTACAACGAATTTTCATTATAGCACAAGGTAAGCTTTTCATTTTCTTCTCATTTCCCTTAGTTTTATTTTTTCTTGACAATTTCGCACCAGCTTTTGTCATTTGCTCCAGTTGCCCGCTTGCAGTTTATTGGATTTAAAATTTTGGACCTCGACCATTGCACAAATCCAATTGGATTGCGGAAAGTTACAAGCGTACAAAGAAAGTTTAACATTAGTTTCTCCGTCGATAACAGACAACTACCGCTTAGAGTTTAAACAAAGCTTTGTTTTCAAAATTGTTCTATATTCATTATATAAATGGCGAAAAATCTTGAGGAAGCTCAAAATTGCCTAACTCTTAGTGCTTCATCTTCAAACTATCAGAATGCGTTTTTTAGATATATCAAAAGGTCACTTGTTCCTATTCTTCCGATGGTCACATAATAAGTATAATTTGGCATTTCTCCTTACCAGACTAATTTATACTCAAGGTGTCTGATGCCTGCTAAAATCAAGCTCGGAATGCCTCGATTATTTAGAGTTTTCTGACATAGGAATTATCAGAGAAAAAGTGATCTTAAATAAGCTTGGCTACAGCTCGATTATCCTCCCAGCAAATAACTAAAATCGTATAAGCAACGGACTCTTTTAAGACCAATTTGGTCGGATATTGAGCATTTGTTTTAAAATATTTAAATATACCGCACATCTGCTCTTCTTTTCGGATCTTAATCACAAAATAAAATAATAATGGAAATAAAGGTGACAGGACAATCGTCGGTCTTCGCCTTGGCCTATAAAAATGACATATTTTGTAAATCTTTAGTCTTGAGTAATAAAAAGTCCCAAGCGTATTATTTAAACCTATGATTAATTATTTAATCATTTTTTATCTTTAGGGCTTACATATTGAATATAACAAAAGATATTCTTGGGGCTTGCTCCTGACCCGCTTGAGCCATTAAGACCTTCATGATACTTTTTATCCTTTCCCATTTTGGCCAATTATTGACCTTTGCTCCCACCATCAATAGTGGTAAGTCTAACGCAGACTTAGTGCAGCTCGGCAAATCTCCTTTTAATATCCTGTCGCATTAGCATATCCATAGGATATCTTCATTATCTATCATTTTATGTAAAGCACACTTCTCAATTAAATGCTCTTCTCTTGCCGTATCCGTATTCCTCACCCCTAGCCACAAACGTCCTGGCCACATAATTAAGCGAACTTTGCACTCGAAAGCAACTCTCATCAGACCACTTGATTCGGCAGAGGCAGCGCTCAACTTCGGCCACTTTGTTGGCGCTCTCGAACTGGAAGCACATGTCCAATATGCTGGCTTATATCATCTTTCAACTTGTGTGTGGATGAGAGGCACTTTCAAAAAACGCTGACAGCCCCTCCCTCCCTGCGTGGCCACCGAAAAAATAAATAAAAAGCTCGAAAAAGAACAAATTTGTTCAAGTTACTATTCAAACGCTTTTCAGCAGCTGCCGCACCAAAATCCCTTTTTAATTTTTCATGGCTGCCTCGCTGCCTGTCACTGCCCCCTGCTGCACTTCATTCAGTCAAAGTCAGCGCAAACAAAAAGCCACTGAAGGACACAAGGGGGACGCATACAGGACACACACACACGCACACAATGCATATGCATATTGGAGGGGGGTCTGTGAAGCATATTTAACCCATTGCAAACACATTTGCATGCACTCAACTCGACTCCGGCTGTGGGGCTTGGTCTTTGGGGTTTAAGCTTGGGGTTTGGGGTTGCGACTTGTGGCCTCTCGTCTATCGCCTGATGTCTAACGTCTAACGCGTCTCGTCTTGCGTCCAGCTGCCATTTTGCATTCCCAAATTCAAATTCTCATATGCTAAGCGTGAAAAATGACTTGAGGTGGGGTCAACAGCAGCCACCCGCGCCGTCTTTCACTCCACTTTGCTCTGACAAAATATTTGCATAGTAAATGGTTTTATTATTAACTGTGTAAACTTTTATTTTAGAGCTAGCTCCATTTCAGCCCCTCGAAAATGTGGCCGCAATTTTCGTAAAATGTTTTAACAAACTTGTTAAAATATTTGCCAAGTCGCTGAGGCCAAGCAAAATTTCAATGGCCAGCGGTCAGTTTGAGTCATCCAGCTGAGTGCAAAGCGGCGTGTGCGCTACAAAAACAAAAATAGATGCAGTGCTGATAGATTCTGACATACCCTATAAGCTGCATCATAATCTAGTTGTCTGCTTAGCTAGATTAACTGGGGAAAGCTTCCCCAAGTAGCAGTGTTGTGTTGGCTCGCAGCTTAACTAATTTCCTCGATTCCCCTCCCCCTCACTACTCCTTGCAGTTGTAGCACTGGGTATAATCAATTAAATCTTTCGCACGCTTTTAATTAAAATTTCCCTTGAGTTACATAATGAAGTTAACTCCTTTTATATCATTTTATTTTTTTACGTGTTGCGGCAGTGACTATGACGATGTGGCGTAAATTTGCCTTTTTGGCCACGCCCACTGTGATGCTGTTGCCGCCTGTCGCCACTTACGTAAATAAAGCGCGAAATTTAAAGCTCAAATCTCATTAAAATGGTTTTATTGCCACATTGGGGAGCTGCTCTGCACGCGGGTTGCGTTGGGTGTCTGGGTGTCTGTGGTGGTGGCCACGGCAATCGGGTGGTTGGGTGGTTGGGGCTGGTTTGAGTGGGTTAACTGCAGCTTCCATTTCGCTACACATTTATTTTCTCGCCCATAGTTTCAATTTGGAGCGTTGGTAGCGCTGCGGGTGTCAATTTCATTGCGCGCTTTGAAGTTGCCGCGAAGCAAATGAAATATAGTAAAGCGTGGGAGCAGGAGCAGGAGCTGGGCAGGGGGGCGGGGGCGTGGTACGGGTGCGGTTGCGATGGCTGGTAGGACATCGCCATGACACAATTGAAATCGATAGCAGACAAGGAATAAAGTATGGGTATGCCAAAAACTATGGGGCGTATTTTGTAGACACCCCAGACAATATTCATGCCCCAAAAGGCAAACCAATGAGAACGGAAAAACCCGAAAATATCGAAAGGGAAAAAATCGTTCAACTCAATTTGCGGCCATTTGCTTGTTCCTTCTATTTTTTTTTTTGTGCTTTTGCTGCCAGTTGCTATTTTTATAACTTGTGCGCAGAGCTAACGAATAATTTTTTTTTAAGTTGCCATTTTTTGGTGGCAGCCGATTCGAAGGAGCTGGCGCTTCTCTCGGCTATGGCGAAGCTTGGGCATCGACTTGGGTTCTGTTCTGTTTTGGGAATCGTCTGTGCGGAAAATTACGTTAAAATAGACACAATATGCTACTTGTGGTGCGTTTCCTTTAAATAATAGGCAAATGCCAGAATCAGGCAGCTAAAGAAATTATTGAGTTTGTGTGCATTCAACCCATGCCATGTTTGTGACGTCACCAACGTAAACAATGCCAAAATTTATTGCCAACTTTGGTTGGCTATTTTCAAATGTTGACATTCTTATTAGGTAAAATGTTAGCTCAATAAAAAAGTACACCTTAAAAATGCCTTGGGCATAGATGAGAAGGAATAGTTTATTTTAATGGGAAGTTTGATTTACCGAAGATTTCCATTTACCAGATAGCTAAAAGCATTGCAGCCAAATCATAATTTGTTTATTATATTTTATGCTTATTTTTTTTTTTTGAATACATTGGAGAAACAACACGATAAATATTTGCTATCTAAAAGGGCTATCGCATGGCATTCTTCTTAAAATAGTCTCATTATCAGGGTCTACGCAGGTGCTAAAAGTGTTCTTCTGATCTTGTCCTGCAGTAATGTGTCAATTGAATACAGAACAAGCTTATTATCTTCAATAGCTCCTCCCTTTTCCCATAAATTATATGTCACTATGGTAAAGAGTATCTCCTGATAGTGCAGTTTCGACTAAAGGACATCTACTTATTTTCCTAAGCCTCGATAGTGCTTTCAGCTTTCCACCGCAGCCATAAGTCCAATATTTTTTAAGGCCCACTCTTGCCACTCATATTCTCTTCTCAACGCCATTCACATTGCTTGTCCATTGTAAAACTCACACATATGCCATATGGGCACATGGCAAGCCCATTAAAACATTCGTTCAGGCAGTGACAGGCTTATTCCCAGCCATTTGCAAAGTTCCCAATGTGACAGTTAATTTTACGGCGATTGACGTCAGCGCAAAAAAAAAAAACACAAATGAAAACTGTGTAAAAATTGCCTTCAAAAAGAAACAAAACAAAATTAAAGGGTAAGTAAATTTGGTAGTTGGCACATTAAAAAAATAAGCGGCAAATGAAAATAGAGAATCAGGCGAGAAAAAGTCACTTTGAGCGAAAGAGAGCGCGCACGCGACAGAGAAGGAGTAGGAGAAAGAGAGCTGAAGCGAAAAGTTTGTTTCATTTAATTGTTTTGAGAGAAAAAAGTGCAAGCAGTCAGGAGGATTTGTTGTTTTACATGTTGTTTCCACTTTTCTGCAACAGGGGCAGAAACAACAGTGGAATCAACTATAACAACAACAGAAGCAGCAGCAGCAACAAGAAGAAGAGCGACTGTAACAATCAAGAGTAAATATAAATAAAAATCCAGTAAAGTTGTTGAGCCAGGACGAAGAGACAGGCCACTTATGCATGTCCTGTTGGCACCACACACACGCAAACTCAAACCCACACCCACACCCACAAAAAGGGACGGGGTCGCTGCGAATGGGTTGGCCCAGGCAGCAGCCAGCAGACGACAGACAGCAAGCAGGCAGCAGCTGACAGGACCTGTCGAGCCAAAGACGAAAAAGGAGACAAAGCAACGCTTGTGAGTGCATATAATCTGAGGCTCATCATCTGCAGCTGCCTGCTGCCTGCTGCCTGCTGCCTTCTGCCTGCTGCCAGCGAGGTGAATGAGCAGGAGCAGCAGGCGGGAGCAACTCAAATCCCAGCCAAGACACATGCACACATCCTTGTGTCCTTGCACATATGCAAGTGTTTGTCAGTGTCCTGGCCGCTGTCTCCTCAGTGCGAAAAACAATGCAATTCTTCCGCAC